TATGCTATTTTAACATGATTATATGATAAGGAAGGAGTGTAATCTTTTTTCAAAGGTTTTTTTGCAAAAAAAATCAAATGTTGCTTATATCAGTTTCTTATTTGTGCACCCATCCCGTATTAAAGAGTTGGGTAGAAAATAATCAGAGACATGCATCGTGCCTTGTTCTATTTGCCAGTCTATATTTTCTAGTTTTGAATTATTATACACACATGAAATGCATTATAGCTTAACTACAATTTGATCATAATTTATATATGGACAATGTCAAATGTCTCAATAAAATGAAAACAGCAGTCAAACAAGATAAACCGTCGCCCGAACACTCGGTTCACAGAACACTAAGCCTTATTTCCGCCCAAACAACTGCGAACTAATGTCAAGGAAAGAAAGTTTTATACAAACTCGAGACAGCGGTTCTGGTTAATTCTTTCACCCCCCAGAGGGCTGATTATGAATCTGTTGTGGTCCATTACTTAATGGACGGAGCTCTCTTCTTATTGCGTTTTGATTGACGTTAGAATAAATGGCCTAGATGGATTAACACCGATTAAATCTGAATGAAGTTTTATGAGATTCGCAGCTATATTTCAACAGAAGTAGAATTAATATTTTCTATATTTAGAACCTCAGTCATTTGATAGCTTATATTATAATCGATGAGATTTTATAGAAATCTTAATTAACGCAATCTTGTTCAGGATATTGAGCTTTTTTTCATAACAAAATATGATTTTTATGTTAAAATAGTTTTTATGTTGTTTTATTAAATGAATAGTATAGTAATCATCTGATACTTGTTATACATATATAGATTAGAGATTCATATTCATTATGTGTCGAGTGTAGTTATTTAGTATAACAAAATATTCTGTTTTATTAATATCTTAATTAATTCCACCGAAACAAGCTTGAATTCCAATAAATTGTGCCAAATATCTATACTATTTCTATTAATAATCGAGTATAGTCGATATTATGAAGTAAACATAATTAAATGTGAGGTATAATTAATTACTGTTACAAGCTTTTATTAGTTTGCAAGTCTGGGTAGCTCGGTGGCGTAGTGGATAAGCGCCGCGGCCCGCGATCGTAGTCGTTAAGCAACTTTCGCAAGGGTCGGTCACGGGATGGGTGACCAAAAAATTATTATCTCGAGCTACTCCGTGCTTCGGAAGGCACGTTAAGCCGTTGGTCCCGTCTGCATTTGCAGTAGTTAATACCCTCCAATCCGGATTGGGCTAGCGTTGAGGGTCATGGCCCATCCTCCTTAACCATCCATAAGGAAGGCCTGAGCCCCTGCAGTGGGGACGTAAAAGGGCTGGTGAAGTCTGGGTAACATTTTGCTAGCATTTGTCTTATTTCCCGCTTTCTGATTGAGCTGTAATTTTGCATGTATAACTTAGATGACGATGCATTGTGTATATAAAATGGAGCTGATCTGATGATGGAGCCGAAAGGAAGAGCCACAGGACGTCTATAATTAAACGAAGCAAACCATTCGAATTTGATTTTTTTTATTTAACTCGACTATGATTTTCGTCCGAGGTAACATCCGGTTTCTGATAATGGAAATGGAAGGTGGCCATAGAATTTAATAATTAAGTAAGATCTCTAGTGCAAAATAAAATTAAACAAAATCTTGTACTTATTTAAGAAGACAATTTTAGTTTAATTTTTTTAAATGTGTTTTGTTTATGTACTACTTATTTATTTATGTACCACTTCCTAGGGAAAGGAGACAAAATGATATAGCGGTAAAGAAAACCTTTCATTTAGATACAGTTACAATTCTTGAAAACACTACAAAACTTATTATAGGACTTAATATTGTTTCTCTCTACAACAAGCGTCTTAAATCTTGTTAACAAAACACTCAAAGTATTCCGTTTAATACTTAAACGACTTGACTATGAATATTTCCAATCTCATTATTTAATACTCGAAGCATTTGAAGTTTGTTAAGTCATTTATTTTTGATGGTTAACTAATCAGGCGTATTGAATTTATAATTTGTAAGGACCTGTAAGATAAATTACTTTGATAAAATACTTAGAGACGGACGCTTTGACTTTAAGAGGTTTGAAATCAATTAATTTTGTAAAAGGTACATTTAATTAGGCGAAATTGATGTGAGTGAATATTCTCAAAATGAATAGCTTGAATGTTTACGTAATGGAAGTATGAATCCTAAGAATATGCATTATTTTTCAGTCTATTCTATGCATAGAAATAGAAACTTGATGATATCTTTTTATCTTATCTAGTCCTATTAAATGAAGCGTTTAGCTTTACATAATTTTCAATCGTTATCTTTAAAAAAAATTAGTAAAAAAAAGTGTAAATAGTACTTTTTCGAGAGTAATTATAATTAGCAAAACTGTCAAAGCTGTAAAGTGAAAAGTCCAATCAAGGTCGCCTGGAAAAAAATACTTTTTAGCAATAAGGCCGACAGTAGTGCTGACTATTTTATTATTATGTACTGTTAATTTACTTATGGTGTTTACAATAGAGTATTTAATTCATTCATTCATTCATTAATTACTTCAAAATTAATACAATGGCGCTCTGAACTTAAATGTGTCACAGTTAACAACCACATGGCGAAACATTAAGCGGTATTAATAAAAAACAACGACCTATTGTATGGCTGTAAATATCAACAAATTAAAAGTTAAACTCACAATTCATTGCGGAACTTTGATATTTAGCTTCACCCGATATGCTGCCGTGTGTACATAAAACGAACAAATATTGACCCGGATTATTACAATGGAATAATCTCTTCGCCAGTTTCGTGTTATCAACATAAATTATTAACATATTAATTTGGCTTTTAATCAAACAAGTTAATGACAACTGCAGTCATTATTATATTTGCGCGTTGTATTTACGTAGTTACTACACATTTTACATCAAACAATAAAGCATTTTAAAATTGCTCTCATAAAAACAAACACTCTAATTAATTTTAAAATAGCAATATAATATGCCATTTTATAAGAAAAATACTAATGCTAGTTATTTGTATATATTTAATAAGCATCTTAAACACGACTTAAAGCACATCGCTGTCAAGTTTTATTTGATTGAACTCGTATATTATTTTAGTGCTGGTCTCGACGACGAGTTGGGGGCTTTTTTTTCAACAGACTAACACCGGTGGTTAGCTAGAGTATTATTAACTTATTCACCATGCTATTCTAAAAATTGTGCGATATAATAGATATCGAATAATGAACTGTTACTGAATAACTAAATCCCTATTGCTTTTTATTCATTTTGTGGATAAACATAGCTCGAATACACACATTCTGTATTGTAACGACCCGACATAGATTATGCAAAACTGGTAAAATTTAAAACTGGATTTTATTTTAACTTTAAACTTTTGCGGTAGATTTCCCATCAGCAACGCATAAACCATTTTATTGTAGTGATCTGACTAGCCTAACTGCTGTATATAAATTCGTTGCTGATTTATAGACAGTGGTTCACAAAAAAAAACCTACAGTCTCGTTCACTTTCTTAATCAATTTTTTAACGCTAGTAGTGAAATAAAATATAAATATTTTTTAAAACAACAAAAACTGTTTTAGTAATAAATTGCAAAATAATAAACCAATATTTAGGACGATTAACATTTCAAGAAAGCTCTTTTAACAACAGGTTATTTATATAAACTTCTTAACGAATATATTAAAAAAAAAAGATTTATACAAGCCAAAGTCTCCAACGTTGCGTCCATTAGTAATACCAGATAATCTTCCACGAGAATCTTTACTTGTGGTTCTAATGAGAATTTCTGAATAGTCTTATTTCTTTACCCTACCTCCCATTGGAACTTAATTATAAAAGACATCTAGCATGCAAAAGAAAGATAAATAAAGACATGTAAGTAATAAGTATCTATTTATAGACACCAGTAATAGATACGGGTACTGTAATATGATAACTTACATTTGATGGTTGGGAACGACGTTTGACCCACATTTCTATAATGGTGAATAATGAGTTTCTTAAGTAAAAATACATACCTGAAAAAGAAAGAAAGTTTTATTTAATATTTATTAATATCTTCACATAGTAGATAATAGATATTTTTTGGTGGCTATTTAATATTTATTAATGAAGATTGGAGATATAGAAAGTTTTACGTTATTTTTAAATATGCTTGTTGTATTTGTATTTATAAGTTCAGTGACATCTATGATTCCAGCAGTTTTATTGGTATTTGTCTGTATAATAGTGACTCTTATTCGTAACTATCTGCTGCTGAGAAGCAAGAAATATAGTACCATAAACTTATAATAAACATTTCTATTTTTTTTTTATTACAGAACAAACAGTTACAACAAAAATACGCGCACACAGGAACTTAACAAACATTAAGCAATAATTCCCTTCATATACAATTATAAACTTAGCACAAAGAGACGGTAAACAAACATGATAATACAAAAACATACAGATAATAAAAACATTTAGTACACACAAACATTTTGTGTGTGCATCAGAGAGAACCCGGACAAAGTTTCCATAATCTTTGGTAAGGACTGATGCTGCTTCCAGCACTACGAAAAGAATAGGCAGAATACATAAGGGAAATGCTCACACACAATATTTAAAGTCGCGCACTCTTTACAGATAGTCGCCTGCAATTTTTTGGTTTTCTTTTCTTAACTACCTACAACATGTCAAAATGTGCAAAATGTACGAAAAATATTTCAAAAACTCGCCCTGGAGTGGAGTGTAGCAGGTGTGAAAAACTGGTGCATGTCGCGACAGAATGCTCGGGATTGACAACTAAGCAAAGAGCAGCATTGCGTGGCAACGATAACTTGGAGTGGTCATGCCAGGAGTGTGCTGAAAATTCCCCAAGACGCAGCTCTATTATTGTACCGGATGAAGAAGAATTAGATGAACAAGAACAACTCGTTTCGGGTCAGATCGACGGAAAAAAGCTTCTGAGGGATATTAGAACCTTGATCGAAAAGGCCATGAAGCAGGAATTGAGTTCCATCTCCCAGAACCTTGAATACACTTCAGAAAAATTGGACGAGGTTTTAGAGGGCATGGAAGCGATCAAAACAACCATAAAAGACCTCAAGAAGAAAAACGAAGAGCTGACTAATAAGTGCAACAACATGCAGACAAGAGTTGGAGCCTTAGAACAGAGAATGCACCAAATGGAACAAGAAAGATTATTTAAAACCATAGATGTGTATAATCTCCCTATAGATGACCGAACTGCAGCCCAAAAGGCTGTACACACACTAGCCGAAAAACTACAATTACAGGGTAACGATGTAACAGACTTAAAATGCTTCCCCGCAACAAAAGATCGGGCAGGTAAAATACAAATTGTTTTGGAGAAAGAATCAGTGCAAACGCAGTGGTTACAGAAAGCGAAAACTACGAAAATAACAGTAGCTGATGTCATACCAACGGCAACGGAGCACATAGCAAAAGAGACCGTTTACATAAGTGAATCATTGACTCCCTTTAATAAAGTTCTGTTACGAAACGCAGGAAGCAGCTCAAAGAAACTGGAATGTATAAATATGTCTGGTGTAAAAGAGGAATAATCAGGGCTAGGAAGGTCGACAGTGCGCCGGCTACCATCATCCGAACAGAAGACGACATCAAATTGTTACTTAAAAAATGAGTCTGTATATCGCTCCTTCTCTTACTTAACTAATAATGACACATTATTTATAGTTTAAAAATGTCGATTATATTAGATGATATAAACGAATTTACTGATTGTGCTAACTTAAATTCATTCATTTCAAAGTGGTATACTGTAGATAAACCTACATTATTTTGCATGCATATTAATATACGGTCTATGATTAAAAATTTCAGTGCACTTGAACAATGTATCTTTTCATGTAGTTTAAATATTGATATAATAATAGTGACCGAAGTTAATGTCACGGATTTAATAAGTAACATGTATAACATACGGGGCTATCACATGCACACAAAGTTGCGGAAAAAAAGAGGTGGTGGTATAATAATATACGTCAAAAAAACTCACAAATTTACACCTATAAATATTAATACATTACACTTCGAATCGATAACTTTTAATATAAAAACGCAAAGCGGGTACTCCGCTACTTTGTGTGCACTGTATCGTCCTCCAAAACATACGAATAACAAACACTTATTTATATGGGAATTGGAGTCACTCATAAGGAAGATTAAAATTGATTCAGATATGTTTATATTAGGTGATATGAACATTGATCTGAAAGGGAAATCACTAATAAAACATACATATAAAAGCATGCTTCATGGGTTTGGTTTGGCAAGCGGTATCTCGCAATACACCCGCATTGAAGTTTTAAAGAATAAAATAACAAAGTCGTGCATCGATCACATATTCGCGAGAACCCGTTTGCCAAACGTATACACCACGGCGCTCGCTACAGTACTGGCGGATCACAGAGCGACGGTCATAGCTTGTGTCGATCCCTCGAGTGAACGCATACAGGATGACTCGAAATATAAAGAAATCTTCAAAGCGGAACAACTTCGTAAAAATTTAAAAAATGTAGATTGGAAACAAGTAGACAGCATGAATAATCCTAACTTAATATATAAATTTATTTCAGAAAGGTTCAGTGAGTGTTATAAAAATTCAACAACTAAAATTAAATTAAAAAAGAAAAATAGAAATAATAATTGGATTAATAAAAAAGTATTAAATGCATGTGATTACAGAGATGTTCTTTATTATACATGGTTAAAGGATAAAAATAATATGATATTAAAACAGAAATATAATAAGGCTAGGAACTATGCGAATAAAATTATACAAAAATCAAAAAACCAGTACTACTATAATAAAATTGAAGAGAGCAAGGGAGAACCAAAACATTATGGAATATTCTTAATAATATAACAGGTCGTAATAAACTTTCAGTGGATGAAATAATATCTAGTAGTTTCATAAATTCCGAAGTGAAAGAAATAGATATTGCCAATATTTTTGCAGATTCATTTATAGGTAGTCTAAAAAATATAATTCCTCATTGTAAATTCTCTTTAATGGATAAGACAAGTTACCAACGTTCAGTAAATGTATCGATGCGATTACGGAAAGCCAGCACTGAAGATATGGAAAGATTAATAAAAAGTACAAATCGTAAAAAGTCACCGGGTATTGATGGTATACGCGCATTAGATGTTCAGTTCCTTTGGCAGGAATTATCCCCAGTACTTGCAAAACTAATAAATACTTGTATTGAAACTAATACGTACCCGAATGAACTAAAAGTAGGAATAGTGAGACCCATTTATAAGAACGGTACTAAATCAGAATGTGAAAACTATAGGCCAATCACTATATTATCGGTGATTGATAAGATACTCGAGAAGTTCATTAGTAAGCAAATTTATGAGTTCTATGCGGATAATAATGTGTTGACAAACACACAATTTGGCTTTCAACCTCATAAAAACACAAGTCAACTTCTATCGGCATTTACTGATCAAATTATGCACGAACTAAATAAGAAAAAACACGTACTGGTAGTCTTCATAGACTACAGCAAGGCCTTTGATACCCTGAAACATGAAATACTGTCAGAGAGGCTGTATGAATGTGGTGTAAGGGGCTCACTGTTGAACTGTTGTCAGGATTACCTTAGGAATCGAACTTATCATGTTAAAGTGGGCAAGGAACTGAGCAAACGTGTTCACGTTACCGACGGAACAGCTCAAGGGTCGGTACTCGGTCCACTTCACTACATTGCGTATGTCAATAACGTAGTGAATGTTATTCAGGACTGCAAGATATACCAGTACGCGGATGACACATGCTTAGTTGCAGCTCATCATGACATCAATATTGCTCTAGATCAGTTACAAAAAGATTTTACTCGTCTTTCAGCATGTTCTCACGATGCCGGTTTGGTTCTAAATTCTAAAAAAACTAAAATGATTTATGTAAGTTCAAGCAGCAACCGAAGTCTTATGCCATTGAATTTGATTGCTCATGAACATAATTGTTTGCATGCGTATACAGGACCATGTAAATGTCCCGCGATTGAAGTTGTAACTAGTCACAAGTATTTAGGTTTGGTCATTGACGATCGTTTTAAGTGGACGGATCACATCGACCTGGTGTGTGATAAATTAAGAGCAATATTAGCAAAAATTTGCCTAATTAAAAATAAAGTTCCGTATAAAATATTATTAGCCCTATATTATTCTTTGGCGGAGTCTATTGTGTCATATGGTCTCAGCAGTTATGGTCGTACGTGTAAAAGTCATCTTGATAAAATTTACGGGTTGCAACTACGCCTTATTAAAAATATAGTACCGACTAAAATAAAAGCAAAATTCAAAGATAACTATCGAGATCTATTCCATTATTGCAGTATTATTCCAATTCATTACAAAGTAAATTATACAATATTAGTTGAAGATTACTTTAATAATAATATTCAAAAATCTTTTTATACTAATGTTAAAAATACAAGGCGGTCTCAATCAAAGAGGCTTGTGATTCCAAGGTTTAATAATCTGTATGGGGCAAGAAGTTTTGCATGTTTGGTTCCATTTCTGATTAATGAACTGCATGATCAAGTTAAAAATACAATAAATTCCAAAAATATTAAAAAGACATTGAAGAGGTACTATATCGAAAAACTTAAATAGGTATGTTATTTGCATTAATATATTAACGAATGTACTATCGGGTTTATATTTGTATGATATATAATTTGTCAACTTTGTCTTATTTATACATTAACTCCCATTTGCATCAAACGCACGCTGTATATACTCGGGACATTCTTAACTACTAAGTCTTTATCCATGTACCCACTATTACGTTTATTTTGACTGATAGTAGATGAAACAAATTAAAGAGCAGCGATAGTGAATGAGCGGTATACGGTCAAACTTGTATTAGTTTTTGTATACTTGCATTGTTTCAAATTAGCAGTAAATCAAAAACATATTATAAATTTTTTGTGTAAAAGTAAACTATATCCTTTTATCTGAACCAGAGCTTAATAAATTAAAATGGCAAGAAATCACCTAAACAATAGCAACCGTATTTGTGTTCTGTCGGAAACTGTTGGATAATATGAATATTGAAACCATACTTTTTCATTTGTCTATTTTCTTGAGAGTAATAGTAACAAAGAAATCTACTAAAGATTTATTTCCCTTTATGAATGAAATATCATATTCGTGCCTGAATAAATATTTCTGAACCCCGTTCAAGAATCCTTTAGTTTATATTTATAGAAACACTGTACAGATAATAACCGGTTTTTATTTCTTTTAATGACTAGGTTTTTTTTCTTTTTTCATTAATTCAAATCAGTCACGAAGATAAATATTGTTTAAGAGTGTGTATGCAACAATTTAGCTAATATATAAAACATTAAATATAGGTACATCACTCACACAATAATTAGTATTTAATTAGATACAAACTTTGGCTATGGAAATCTGAAACAACGAAAGTACAACAACACCCACAGACTATAAAATAAAGAAAAGTTTATTCATTTTTTCCCCTAATACACAGCAAAACCTGCGAGTAAATCGGGATAACCTTTATGACCATAATTTAATATAATCTAATAGTTATTCTATAACTCAATCGCGATGTGTAACGCGTAACTATAATAGGTACTCTATAAAAATGAACAAAATCTATTTTCTTATGACAAAAATAGTATTCTTGTTAATCACACAAATACTCAGCCTTGTGAATACAAAATAAACTATAATTATTCTAATTACAGTGTCGCCACTATAAAGAATGTATAACAATTTTAAACAAACAAAAGAAACACCACAATCGGACAGTAAGTTATTCATAAATAGCTATTTTTCTGCGACTTCACCCGTGTATTTTATAGCTAATGTTTATAATTCTTTTAAATTTTCTGTCCAATAGTATCGTTATCCATTCTACAAAAAAATCTTGAAATAGTTTTTATCTGGTTCCCTCTGACTGCGTTTTAGCCGACGAAAGGTCGTTTGCGGTTATAACCGGCGCACGTACGCGTTTTATGCCGCGGTCGCACGCGTGAGGGGTGCCTTAAACCGTCCGCATATTCATGGCCGATATGACGCAACTATTGACATATGTGTCCTTTATTTATTTTTAACTATCGGAATTCAATTAAGGATTTTTATCAAATATAAAACATGAATTTTAGGCAGGTGTCCTTTGAAAGTATTGCTGAATAGAAACTACGGTTTTACTTACCCTAAATTTATAAGAAAGAGAAAGATTTATTTATATATTACTATATTTAACGCGTGGCTACTTCTTTTTTGAATAATAAAGATGTATTGAAAGCAATTGGCATTAATGATATATATTAGTCACAATTTGCATTTAATTTGAACATATATACCAGGTGACTAAATGTTGGAACAACATACCCCCACCAATAAGACTTCTCTCAACGAAAACAACTTTTAAAAAAAGTTTGATGGTGATGACAAATATTTGCAATTGGATTTCGGACATTTATATCATAATTTCATTTGTATTTGCTTATAATTTAATATTTAAATGTATTTTAATTTATATTTATTAATTTATCTTATACGCTTTTCTTTATTATTATTTTTATTTAATTTTATTCAATATGGACTTTATGATATGCAATTATGATTTCACTATTAATCTTACACAGTATCTTTGGTTCCCCGATAATTCAAACTTAGGTCAAAGCTGAAAATCGGCAGTTTGTTTTCCAAGTAAACATATTGCCGAACTTTTGTCCTTTCTGCATCGTCCCGGCATACATGTGGCCCTGTGTATGTTTTAAATAATTGTTTAATTTTGCTTTTATTTTATTTCTTTGTT